GAGTCTCCTGCCTCTGCCTCCCAAGTAGCTGGGACCACAGGCGCCCAAGGCCCGGCTATATTTTTTTTTGGTTGCAGCCGTCATTCTTGTTTGGCGGGTCCGGGCTGGGGATTAGAACCCGCCACCTTAGGTGTACATGGCTGGCGCCTTAGCCGGTTGAGCTATAGGCGCCGAGCCAATTTCTTCAAACTTTTATTGCTTCATTATTTTTAGTAATAAGATGCAAAAAATAAGATAAGATGAGCTCACAGAAAACCAGTGTATGTCTTGGCCTAGAGGAATCAGTCATTATCAAAGTCAGTTTCCTTGTATCTATAATCCTTTTTTCTGGTTGTATTCTTTTTTTTACTATATTTTTATTGTTTGGGATTCATTGAGGTACAAAGAATTAGGTTACACTGATTGCATTTGTCAGATGAAGTCCCTGTTATAGTTGTGTCCCACCCCCAAGAAGTGTGCCATACATGGTGACCTGCCATCTTACTTATGCCTCCCCTCACCCCCACTTGCCCCTTCTCCCCCAACCCCCATTTTGCATCTTATAGAAAAATAGCCCAGTAAAAGATGGGATGAGTCATCTGGAGAACTGACCCATCCTAGAAAAAATTGCCATTGAGAATTAAGTCATAGACAAGTCAAATCAAGGTAACCATAGGGTTGTAGTTTCAGGAAGATATGATTGGTGTAAAACAAAGCTGACTCTTGATCAAGAGTATTGTCAGTTAGATGACAAAAGATTGGTCCAGGCACTATCTTCCAAGTTGCTGCAGTCCTCTGGGTCAGCTTAGGAAACCCACTAACCAGGACCAAATTATGAATTTGAGAATCTGCTTCCTTCACATTTGACACAAGGTGCAAAAAAGGGGGATGAAAACCCAATCAAGAAAAGTGCCTTCCAGTACCAGGGCATGGTGGCATATATCTGTCTCCAGCTACTAGGAAGGCTGAGGCAGGAGATCACTTGATCCCAGGAGTCGGAGATTGCAGTGAGTTATGATGATGCCACTGCACTACAGCCTGGGTGATACTGTGAAACCTCTCAAAAAGTAAATAAATAAGATATGGAGAGAATGCCAAAATTTTTTTTTCACTTTTTTTTCTTTGAGACAGAGTCTTACCCTGTCACCCTGGGTAGAGTACCATGTTGTCATAGCTCACAGCAACCTTAAACTTTTGGGCTCAAGCAACCCTCTTTTCTCAGACTTCTGAGTAGGTGGGACTACAGGCACCCAACACAATGCCCAGCTAGTTTTTTTTTTTCTGTTTTTAATAGACGGGGTCTTGCTTTGCTTGCAATGGTCTTAAACTCCTGAGCGCAAGTGATCCACCTGCTAATTCTCCGAATGCTAGAATTACAGGCACAAGTCACCATGCCCCACTCAAAAATTTCTTTTTAAGATATGATAAAGGCTAAAGAGATCATGTCTATCTAATGGTTAATTACCATCCTATAAAAAGAATCCCAAAAACTTACCAGTGGAAATTCACAACACATCAGGAACAGTCTAACCTACCTTCCCTTCTATAGACTTACAGATACTTTTGTCTACTGAGGGACTCCAATTTGTTCAAGCAATAGAGAAGCCTGCAAGGAAACAAGCTGTGTAGACCCAACAGAAACACAGTTAAAGCAATTGAGTACATCAATTCATCTCACTTTGATTTTGGGGTATATCTAATAAAAACGCTGCATTAGGCTGGGCATGGTGGCTCAGTAAAACTGTGTCTCAGAAAAAAAAAGAAAGAAAAGGAAGGAAGAAGGAAAGAAAGGAAAAGAAAGATAAGAAAAGAAGAAAAGTGCCTTTCTCTATTTGGGTCTTAGAAAAAACTGCTACTCCTGGGCAGCGCCTGTTGCTCAGTGGGTATGGCGCTGGCCCCATATACTGAGGGTGGCGAGTTTGAAACCAGCCCCAGCCAAACTACAACAAAGAAATAGCCAGGCATTCTGGCATAGTCCCAGCTACTCAGGAGGCTGAGGCAAGAGAACCTCTTAAGCCCAGGAGTTGGAGGTTGCTGTGAGCTGTGATGCTACAGCACTCTACCGAGGGTGATAAAGTGAGACTCTATCTCTAAAATTTAAAAAAAAAAAAAGTTGCTTCTATAAATCTTAATCCCTAAGGTGTTAAGGAGGCATTAAGAAATTGGCTGTGCCACTATAGCCAACCATGGAAAATCAGGATTCAAGTACAACAATATAACACAATTAACTATAAAAACTAAATACAGGTTTGGCGCATAGCTCAGGCAGCTAGGGTGCCAGCCACATACACTGCAGCTGGCAGGCTTGCTGGCAGGTTCGAATCCAGCCCGGGTCAAAAAATAGCTGGGCATTGTGGCAGGTATCTGTAGTCCCAGCTACTTGGAAGGCTGAGGCAAGAGAATCACTTGGACCCAGGAGTTTGAGGTTGCTGTGAGCTGTGAAGCCACAGCACTCTACCCAGGGCAACAGCTTGAGACTCTATCCCAAACAAAAAACAAGTAAACCTCGATCAGTTGGAGAGGCTAACAATGAAATCTGTAGGTTTATTTCCAAGCTCTTATAATTCCAATATAATGATACGATTTTAGATTAATCTTGCAAAAAAAGTGGCAAAGACTGTGGCATCAACGACTCCAGAAGAGATTTTGCAGAAAATGAAAAATAAGGTAATG